GAAGTCAGCCCTTCTACAGTTTAAGTACCAGGCTTTTACATAGATTGATCTCAACCACAAACACTTTGTTTACACACCAGCTCATGTAGGCTGAATTATTAATACTGTGTGTACTGATGGACTGTATGGGGCAAAGTCACTCAACGAACAGTGCAAGCACTTTTGTTTGTGTTGAAAATCACATTACACAGCGGATGTGTGAATTATTAATAATTGTTAAATGGGAAACAGATTCACTTGTTGATGCTTCCAAGTTTTATTTTTTCATGAAGTAATGTTGCACACATTATGGAGCCTATTCAGTTTTGCTTTTTAGAAAGCAAAACTCATAGATTCAATGCAGAACACAGAAAAATAATTATTTGTTATATTTATTATTTAAATAGATTTCAATAGTACCCACAACTACTTTCTGTATTTTTACAGTGCATATGAAACTTTAACTTTCATATTTCAATAGCCACTCAGCTACTGAGTATCTTGATATTAGGCTATGAAACAGTTGAGGGTTAATGTTGATCCATCCACCCACTACTGTTACAGTGGAGGTTTTAAAGTGTGCCTCTTGGTTTACATCCGTTCCTCCCGCGCGGAGCACACGGGGCGGGGTCCACATGGCAGCGAGCGCAAGCAGTGGGCGCAGATGCAGTCGCTCTCTCTTTACATCTGTCCCCTCCCAGTTTCCAATCTCCACTGGAGCGGAGACAGCAGCACTATGAAAGCTACATGAGCAGACTAGTTCAGTGTGGGTCGGTTCAGCAACACAGGGTCTTTGTGTATTTTGTTTGTGAACATTGTGCATTTGTGGATAGCTTTTTGCAGAGCTGGGATTTTTGCTGTCAGTCCATGGGTAGGTAAGTGCAACCCCTGACAGATGTTTGGGTTATGTTACTATATCCCGCGTTACATGTTGAGCGTTTCTTAGTTTGTGCTTTTCCTAAATTGTGTAGTTACAGATATCAAGGCCATGTGCTCATTTTATTTCAGTTTATTTAATTTTTCAATTTCAGTTTATTCAAACTTCCAACTTTGCAAAATACATGCAATTAAAAGTAAGATAAGTTTGTACTACCAAGAAATGATCATGCCATTTGTTCACTTTTCCTGAGCAGAACTGTAAATGGAACTTTGAAATTAGTAGTAATTCTACTGTCAGGTTTTACAACAATAACCAAGAGATGATACTAATAATTATGTTGTAGATAATGATGACATGAGGTTTCTTGACAGTTTGTCATAGTTTTAACTTGTAAGTCTTTGTAAGTCTTGTAATATAATGTGTAAGTCCCAGCCTGATAAATATTTGAACGCAAGTCAGTGATGAAAAATACAGCAGCTGATACACATTACATGGGCGTTTGTAATTGGCTACAGCTCTCCATCTTTCTGTGTGGCAACAGCCTTCCCTTCCACCCAGCAACTCCCCATTCCTTTTGCTGTGGTGATTTTCTGCCTCCGAGGGCCCTTTCTGCAGCATCCACCGCAGTAACCATGGCAACAGCAGCCTGACCCTGGGCGTGCTGCTACACTCGCTGCACGCTTGACCTGAATTCCTCATATGCACATCAAAGCCACGGCGACACAATTCAGACAAATGGTCTGCCTACTGTTGTGGGCAGTTGTTACAGAGCCCCTGGGTGACTTATCTAAACAAAAGTCTTTTCTGTTTGGATACTAAAGCAGCTTGTTGTTTGGGGTTTTGCTATTATCTGCTGGTTGACTTGCAGTTTAAGTTCAGATTTGCATTCTGGGCAGCCTTGTTATCTGCACCAGAGTGTAAATAGTGGAGCAGTTGGCATTATCTGCTAAGTTATGTGTAGCTAAGCCCGTCACGCTAATACATTTTGAAGTACAATATATTGCTAAAGTAAATATAGATGATAAACGATAATGTTGAAACAAAAACTATGAGCTGCAATAAATAAACAGCAGAATAAAACTCTTTCAGTACTTAGTTTGCATTTGTAATGAGTCATACATAGTCATTAATTTAACCTTTTACTGCTCAAATCTTATTAAAAATAATAATAATAAAAAATTCCCAGTAGTGCAAAGAAAAAGTACACACAATAAATACTGATCCCCAAAAATATCGTCCAAGCTTTCGTAGGCCTATATGTAGTCTGCAGTTGTGAGGTTTGTATACCATATAAACTACACTATAAACACATTCATTGAAGCAATTTATTTGGTGTATTTTTTTTTTATCTTTTTACTTGTTTAACTTGAAGAAGATGTACTGATCCTTATAACCTTCTTGTGAAATAGAAATAGATCAACTTTATTGATCCACAAGGGAAATTATACAGTAGCTTACACATTATAATATATTATAACAACAAAGAGCAAAAATGTAAATTGTTATAATAAATAAAAAATAAGTCACAAAAATAGCAAGAGACTCATGTCAAATAAGGCATAATTATATAAATGTTGGCAGATGTTGAGTTATTGGTATTGGTTATGGAGCTAAATGTGTTTTGCAGATTGTGGTGGTTGGTTGCATGCACAGTTTTGCTCAGCTGAAGCTCCCTGTAGTGTCAGCTTGTTGTTGGGTTGGAGTCAGACCGTGTAGGAGGGCCTATTTCTGTCTCTTCTCCAAGGAGACTTTTTCTCTCTTTTTCTCTATGCTGTGCTCTCCCATCTCTGTGATGCTTCTACACTGCTAAACTTGCTGAACACGCTCAAGCCAGTGGCCATTGATTGTCAGTCTAAACCTGTATATATAAATGGACATAGGTAATCCACTAGCAGCCACGTTCCAAATAGGAAGTGAACATGGGGACGCTTCTGGCTCCATTGACTCTTAATTGACTTTATATTGAGCAATTGTCACCCCTCTCTCTGTAAATGCTGCTGTGAACCTTGTTATTTTTGTCTTAAAATGTTTGTATTAACCCACTCTGCATGACGCTGGTGTTTTTACTTCGCTATTTTGTCTGTAAATAAATTACTATTCTGAACATGGAACTCCAAATTCGCCCCATAACTGTTAACCTTGTGAGCTTCGTTTGACTGGAGTCGAATGCTATAGGTGACGTCACACTCCCTTAGTCCACTTCTTTACAATCTCTATAGCACAGGTGTCAAACATAAGGCCCGGGGCCGTATCCGGCCCTCCAAGACCTTTAATCTGGCCCTCGGTTGATTTTCTTCTAAAATATTTTAATTATATTTTCTATTAAAATATTGGTAATTTTCTGCGTTGCTTAGCGTAGCAGCGTCTCCAGAGTCTCTGTGCGTGGCCCCTCCCACCAGAGCAGCACAAATGAAGACTTGTCTCTTTCCAAATGCTCTTAAAGGACGATCGTTTTGACTGTTGACCGTGACACCCTCATCAGCAAAATGTCAAAAATGAGAAAAGTGGAGCCGAGTGCAGGATTTTCCAAGAAAAACTGACTTATTCCTATTTGCATACAAGTTATTGTTAAAATATTGTGTTGAAATTGCATTTTTCTTAAAGTTTCAGGTTGTTCATGATATTATAATATTTTGTAAAAGAAAGAGTTCATCAATTAAAAAAGATTTCTGTCATAGATTTGCATTTCTCTGCACAAATATTTGAACTTATTGCTATTTTTGAGTATATATGCCATGAGTTTTCTGATCCGGCCCCTTTGGGATCAAAGTAGGTTGGATACGGCCTCCGGACCAAAATGAGTTTGAAACCCCTGCTCTATAGTCTAAACACTTGATTGGTTACAGCACTTGAAGCCTACGCTTAAAGGTAATTAAGACAGTTGCACACACAGCAGTACAAACAGGAACATAGTGACCACATGTCCCTTCAAATATAAAATATTTTTGCTGCTCATTAAACATAACTTAATTATACATGTACATTTGTATAATCACATCTTATTTGACACCAGTCTGTTGCTATTTTTGCTACTTGAATTTATTATTACCATTTATATATTTGCTCTCTGTTTTTATATTATTTTGTGATGTGTCAGCTACTGTGTCCTAATAATTTCCCTTGTGGATCAATGAAGTTTGTCTAAGCCTAAGTGTAAACAGCTTTGATATCCTTTGGACAGACGGGGATGAGCAGTGGGGGGTCACTCCAGCTGCTGGCTTTACCAATCTTTACTGGCTCTTGTCTTACACTCCATCTGATCACAGTGTTTATTTTATTCAGTAGAGTCACAAATTATGCGTCTTCAGTTGTGTGTCTGAAATGGTACAGTACCTCCAAGACGTTCCTGCATATCACATGTAAGAAAGTTACAGAGTGTTTCTGTAAATCAGAAAACAGAAGGCTAATAACCCCTGAAAGCTTTAAAAAGAAAATAATTTCTAGTTTTGGGCATGATCAAAAGAGTAATTAGCACCAAGTCCTATACTGTTGAAATAAACACATGTGATGAATATGTGACAAACATTTTTAAGAGATTTAAAAGAGATATTTGGGTCTGTAGGGTATGTATTTGTTTCTCTTTGAGGACAGCAGCATGACATGGAAATGTTTCTCTTACAGTGTCTATAATACACACATACTGTGGCCAGAGACACAAGGGCAGTGCAGATGCCATTAGTGTCAAACGAGAGTGGATTCCTGGTACTTTAACTAGACAAGCTGCTGCTTCAAATACAGTAGTGTTGGATCAATGAAAGTGAATGCTTTACATGTGCAGTGTGCAGAGCTCACTGCCTTTAGAAATGGGATTTACTGTGGCATTGGTTTGACCAGCAACAAAGCACTGTCTGCATTTTTGTAGGCACTCCCCTCAAACCATGTGAGTCACAGTATTTTCCTCAACACTCACTTTTTTCCAGAATTAGGCTCATATAAAAATATTAACAGCTTGGGCATATTTACTGTAAGTGGACTTTAAAGCTACCTGCTGTCTAAATTTAAGAACATGTGTTATGAGATTCTGAGGGCCCCTATACAGATGTCAGTGATTTTGAACCAAATAATAAGAGCTCTTTTTCTTCAAATGTAAGCTACAGCACTACTATAAAATACACATTGAACAACTGTGTTTTTGTTATAGATGTGATGGACCAGCATAGGTCGCTGCACTCAGGGTGCCTTGTCTCAGGGGTTCGTACACCTCCAGTCCGACGCAATAGTAAACTGGCCAGCCTCGGACGCATCTTCAAACCCTGGAAATGGAGGAAAAAGAAGAACGAGAAGCTGAAGCCGGCTGCAGGTTTGTTTGGTTTTATGATCATTTGAAGTTCAACTAAATAAATGCACTTTACAATAGAAAACTCTCTATAGATGAGGTCCATACTTAATTGTTTGTTGTTTTAGCTGTGGATAAGAAGACAGCTCTGAGACAGCAAAGAGATGATTTTCTTAAGCAAAGTCCTGGGGAGGCGGAGACAGGTGCAGCGTAACTCACTTATGAACTACTTCAAACCTCTTCCTCTAATGAAGGACTGACCACTGCCCTTGTGTGTATTTTATGCAATGTCAGATCTTCAGTGTGGGGCCAATGGTGAGGAGGATGCAGACACACCCACACATTCGGATGAAGAGGAGCGGGACGAGGAGCCTGTAGCCCCTCTGGCCTGTACCAACGATGAGCTGGGCAGTGATCTGGAGGGCTCCACAGGTACACCACTGATTAGACTGGCTACTGCTTTACCAGACTTCAGCTACTCACTTCAACTACTAAAGGTCTCCGTAGTTCAACATATAATTAAACATAAAACTGTGGCTATGTTTATATACACACACAAAATCTGATCATTATCTAATTTCTGGAGTCATCAGATTACTGAAAAACCATGTAAATCATTACACCTGTTGGGATTTATATTAAGAGGGGCCATGTATGAACACATTAATCTCATAAAAGAAAAGCTGCTTTACACCATATTTAGTGAAATCTAGTTTCCATCTGCAGTCTCCAGGCAGTTTAACAATTAAAATGCATTCAAATATCCACCCTTTTACAGTCAAACCATGCATTGTCCTATTCATTCTTTCAACATCACACTCCATATTTCCACATTCAACAACATGCACATTTTGACTACGAAAATGATGCAAAGTTTACAAGTAATGAAAAAATGAAATGAAATAATAGTGTAAAGGATTGAAAGAGTTGTTTTCTTATAAATACATCAGTTACAACTTTGATGATCGCAGATGCTTTTGATAATGACATTTCTCTTGGGAATGTAAACACACACTAATAATCATTTCTTATCATTGGGTTGTCTAGTTATTCTAGTCATCAAGCCATTTTAGTTTGTCCACTAGATGGGGCCAGAGTCTTTACAGTAACCCACCCTCAGCACACCTCTATTTTTTACAGTACAAGATGTGACAGAGGCAGACACAAGGACCATGGCAGATCCCAGTCCCACAGTAGACGGTGAAGATGACTGCACCACCATAAGCGACCCAAGTGAAGAGCTCCCGGTGGGCAAAGCAGAGTCAACTGAAGTCAAACAAGAAGTCGTAGTGGTACAGCCTCAGAGACGAGCAAGCACCCCACCTCCTCCAACCTTCCCAGTCAAACTGCTTCCCAGACTAGGCAGCTTAGATGGTCAGTGGTTAAAGCATACTGATTTCATTGGCATAATATGTGTATAAAGGTCGCACGTAACTTACGTAACTTACATTTACAGCTGCTCCCCCCGTGCCAGTTAAGAAATCTCCAGCCACTTTACCCAGAAACTTTACTTTACCCAAAGACCCTCATGGTTCACTACTGAGAGGCCGCATTTCCACACCGACTGGCTCTCCCCACTTGGGGGCGCTGAACCCACAGCTACCACCCAGCTGCATCATAGAAGAGCTGCACCGGGCCCTGGCTACCAAACACAGGCAGGACAGGTGCTGCTTTCACACTTCTCTCTTTCTGGTCCTGTCACATGTGTCCTTATAGTATTTTAGATGCGTTGTTGTGTTTTCTTTGATTTTTATTTTGGTCATAAGTTGTTCTTAGTTGTTCTTTTTTTTGAACATTTTCACAATATAAACAAGAGAAGAGCAAATAGCTGTAAGTGAAAAATAGTAAGAACTGAAAAAAAAAGAAAGACAACAAACCATGTAACCAGTAATAATCACACCAGTCATTATGTAATAACTGTTAAAAGTCAAGCTGTGGTGTTAATAGCAGCGACTACTGAAAACACGCTGACTCATCTTCTTATAAAAATATCTTATTGGTGGGTCAAAGGATTTCACCACAAACACAGTCACTTTCTCTCAAACTAATATTTGGATTTGTCTTGGTTTTACTGAAGCGTTACATTGCACTATGTACATTTTCTGGTGGAGGGTTCGCCACTTGAAGATGGAGATGTTACTATGGCTCTAGCAGAGGAGGCTAAGTTACATGTCAGATCTATAGAAAGGCAAGCCCACTCACAGTAGGAATACATGATTTTAAGGTCATTTGAGCATTGAAGATCTATTCTAATTGACTAAAAGCACCACAGATACGTTCACAGACACAATATCCATGGACTCAAGCAGGTGGCAAATTCCCACCAGAAAAGTTAAATAGTGCAGACACATTTTTTGGCTGTATGATTATTGTAAGATTGGCAGTGATGAATACTTCAATTGCCTTTGGTCATCTTTCTTGTGTTATCTCCTCAGTTTCCAGGCCAAAGAGGTCCGTTCTTCGCCCAAGCGGCGTCTTGAGGGCCGGCTGTCCCGTACCCCCAGCACTGAGAAGCAGAACAGCGGTGAACAGAAGCCAGATAACAAGAAGGAATGTGATGAGAACAAGGAGAACTGGCGTCTGGATGAGTACTTAAGCGATCCGGACAGCTGGAACGACTCTGTGATCTCCGGTAGGTCCATGTGCTCTACAAACCTGACTCTACAAAGCTCTATATGTAGCCTGGTCTCTTTTCTGCTGAAAACAATGTTATGTTCAAGTGCATTGGAGTTTAGACTTCTCATTTCACTAAAACCTACCTAGCAATATTACATTTGCCCTATTTTTTTTTCTATTTTGACATTTATAATTTTACTTTCTGGTTGGAAATTGGTAGCAGATATGACATAAGTGGAGGAAATTCCATAACATTTTTTACCTATAGCAAACCAAACCTTATCTAATCATAGGTATTATTTGACAAAATATTTATAAAATAAGTGACAAATATCACTGGTACCAGCAAACAGAAACCTGTCAGATAAACTTAAAGTAACACTGGATTTAGTGTAGTATGAACTTGTTTAATAACCAATTTTACAGAATTATAATAGTACACATTTTAGTCAAGGTTTAAACTACGATTTAGTTCTTGTTTACTTAAGGTTTAATTAAAACACACTTGCCTTGTGTTGTCCTGACCTCTATAGTCTCTGATTTAGACCTGTTTTACACTTGATTTAGTTCTAGTTTAGTCCGTGGTGTTTGACCTTAAAGCTGGCTGTCAGTGCATAAGGACTCTGCGTAATCTCTGTTTCCATTGGGAGCGCGGTGGGAGATTTTCTGTGTCTCAGTGGTGTTCACAGTCCCATTGGTCCACATCTGTGCCCTAATTCTGCCTGGACCTCCATGTAGGTCAGAGACGGTCAGCGTGCACGTCTGTCAACCCAAGGGAATACGTCCAGGCAAAGAGTCCGCCACAGATGTTTTCATAATACAGATGTTTACATGTTTACATAGTACAGACTGACAAGAAAAAGTGTGTCTCAGCACTTGGGTAAAATTGTTAATAAAATAATTTTGTTATAATTTTTTCTACTATAATATATTCCTACAGTATATATTACTAGGGATGCATCGATCTGATATTGGTATTGCACATTGGTGCCGAAATTGAAAAATTAGCAGGATTGGATATAGGTTTCCAAATAGTGGTTCAGCTGATATCCTGGTTGGACAAATAAACTGATGTAATAAGACTATTTACTGGTCATACTTGGCCCAGGAAGTCTCATAATGTTTGAATTTGTGTTTACATAAAGCTGTTCTTAGAGACTTAGACTTAGACAAACTTTATTGATCCACAAGGGAAATTATTTGGACACAGTAGCTCACACATCACAATATAATATAATAATAACAACCTGTGACATAAATAACAGCTATATTTTGGATCAGTTTTGTCTTATGTTATTTTACCTTAATTAAATGCTGTTTTTAGTCTCAGCAGATACTTAAATCCAAAATATTGTGATCATTATTAGAATTGAAAAAGTTGATAGGTGCAATCCTATATACTACCACAATATTCAAGTTTAAATAAGAGAACTGGGTGTAAATAATTGTACCTTTTGACAGTAGAAGTTGTAGGCAGTGCTGAAAATTATACTAATAATAGCAGAAGTGATCTACAGTGGTTGTCTTAAAATCATTACTTTATTGCGCATTACCTTAGTCCTGCTGTTGGCAAATGGGTTTCTGAATCAATTCCTGGATTCAAGGGTTTTTAAAGGTGAGAGCTGAGCTAAAATAATATAGTCCCTTAATAACCCCTAATCTCTCTGCAGGGTGTATGACCTAACTTTCCTAATAAATTAAAAATCCTCACTGGAATGGCTTAAAAGTCCCATATTACACAAAATTATCTCTTGTGAGCTTTAAGCCATGTTAGAATAGTGTTACCTCCTCAGAACCATACCTGGAGCTGTGTTTAATTTTCATTCCCACATGTTTGAATAACCCTTTATTATTAGTCTGTCTACATTTCCAAAGCTCAAAATGCTCTGTTCCACCTTGTGATGTCATGTAGTGGTAGTTTTCAAGGTAACATCTACCATTTTACCTTTAGTTCTGTAGTGACTGGCAATTCCAGGGCTGAAATTGTCCAAATGATCCTAGTGAAGGTATTCGGAATTTAAAACACAGTGAAGCACTTCCTGTATTACAACATGACATCACAAGGTGGAACAGTGTGTTTTTTGTTTAGAGAAGAACTCCTAAATATGGAGGGTGTGTGTGTTAAACATTTGTGAACAAAACACAACTGCATGTATGTTTTTGATGAGGAAACAACATTATAACATAGACCAGAAAAGACCATAATATGGGCCCTTTATTAACAATAATCCGTATAATCACCTGTAATAATCACTTCAGAAATGATCAGAGAGAATTTGTACTCAAGTAAAAGTACAGTTACAATGCAAAAATTCTTGATACTCAGTTGCAAGTACAAATACCACTGCCAAAATTGTACCAAAGTAAAAGTACATAATATGCATCAAAAGCTATTTGTAATAGTAGTTACAACTGCTAGTTACACACCTACTTGCACCTGTGACAAAGCTTACTTAACTTAACTCTAAATGAGAATACAGTGAAGTTAAGTTCTTTTACCACCCACCAATGCACACTTTACTCCCCTGTGAAGTGGCCCTCTCACCACACCCGCAGACAAACCCAGTGCTTATTGTTCATTTACAAGTCTTTAATTAGTAAAACCCCGTCCCACCTCAGATCACTGCTACACATCCACAGAGCCGCACACTCCGCTCCAACAGATACATTAACCTTAACAGCTTTTGGCCGCTCCTTCTTGCAGTTCTCTGCAGCAAGTGACTGGACATTCTGCGAATCTTTCACTGTCTCGTGTTGTGGTTCACTATTTCATAATTGATTTGCAAGTTTTTGTATTCTGCGTCTTGGCCTGGTTGTCTTTGCAAACTAGAAGGTGTTCTCAACTGACTTACCTAAACTACTGAATACAAACATAGCCTTTTAAATAATTTTATAAAAAGCCTTGCCAATTAAACTATTAAAGATGAATTACATTGTTTTAAACTTCAATTTTAGAGCTATTTTTAAAGGAGCAGAGATAGAAATGGACAACCGGGTACTCTATTAATACCTCATTGCCTTTTCTATGACAACTGATTATGATTTCCATGCCAAATTCTTAATAATTTTCCCCCTTCAAAACATGTATTTAGTTTTAACCCTCTAGGCGCCACTGTCGACTTGTTGACAGGATGCCGCTCTGAATAAAACAGACGATTTTGCCAAATAGGGCGTCAAATTTCATTCAAGCTAAACCAGGTCGAAACCAGGTCTGAACCAGGTCTAAACCAGGACTGAACCAGGCCTAAAGCAGGACTAAACCAAGATGAAAATAGGATTAAACCAACTCTAAACCAGGATGAAAATAGGACTAACCCAGGGCTAAACTTGGACTTAACCAGGACTTAACAAGGGCTAAACCAGGGCTAAACCAAGACAAGGTTGTCAAAATTAAACGTTTTAGGAAAAAACCTCTGGCACCTACAGAGTTAAATTGTTAATCGTTAATAATCGTTAACAAATTTAATTAAATTTGTTAATTTTTTATCATTCTGAGATAGCAAATACCATGGGAATACTGTACCACCTCTCACACACAGTTAGAGTATTTCTGTCATTAAAAAACATGAGTGGAAGTGTTTCATTGTTGTGAGTAATTGAGGTTAGTGACAAGTGTCTCTGGGAAGGGCCAGTACAAAAGTTCCCCGTGTGCTGAAAAACATGAGTTCACTGAGTCTATGTGAAATCATAATTATAATAACTGTCATTTTTGAAGCTGTGTTTTGTTGTTATTCAACCTCAATACAGGAACACTCCCACGCAGAATGAGGAAAGAGCTGCTCGCCGTGAAGCTGAGAAACCGGCCGAGCAAACAAGAGCTGGAGGACCGCAATATCTTCCCCGTACGCAGTGACCAGGAGCGCCAGGAGATCAGGCAACAGATCGAGATGAAGCTGGCCAAGTGAGTGGCTGTGTGTGGACATCAGCCTCCCCCCTCCACAAGCTGCTCATGACCTGACCCTCCTCTGTCATCCCATGTATGTGTGCTCCATCCCTGCACCAACACCAAAGCTTAAAGGTGCACTATGTAACTTTTTGGTTGGGGGTCCATCACCTTCTTGTTTCTATGGATATGTCATTGCTCTGCTTAGAATGGTCCACAATATGGAATTAAACAGCTCTACATTACATTTATTCAATTACAGGTGGTTTTATTGCTCAGAAATATCTAGAAAAACTGGGTGCAGGGTTGCCTCTCCACAGATCTGACCTGTAACTTGGTCTGGCTTAGTCTCCATAGTGATAGAAAACATTAATACCATGCTGTGAAACATTCCAGTGAGAGCAATAACACCACTATGAAGAAAAGTATTTGACGGACCCTCCACCAGAAAAGTTACACAATGCACCTTAAAGTCATTTTCATGTTTTCAGTTTTCTTACATAGTTCAAGCTTTGTGAATATTGAGCTAGTCACGATACTCTGTCTGCACATCTCATTCTGGTAATGATCTGCTATTTTAGTAAAATCACTGTGAAATTGTGATTCACTCATTTTGAATGCAGCTCTCTGGTCAAACTGTAGGACTGTAGGCCTTTAGTCATTTAGTCAATTAATTGGTCGATAGTGTCGTAGTAGTTTTTGGCATTTATAAGTAAAAAGGCAGATTAAACTATTTTAAATTAAATGATTCATAAGTTTTATCTGTCTTTGTATACATTGTGTTTTAGCACTTTCTTCATTACTTTTGCAGTTGTAATGTTGTGAATGCAGTTTGGGGCAGATAAATGGCCAGATTATAGACATGTTTATATGACAATAGTTTTGAGAAATTTTGTGACACTCGCTTTTTAGTTAACAAAGTTTTTTTTTTAATTGATTTTATTTACCTTTTATTTGCACTTTTTATTTGTTATTTTAAATACTTCAGATTTAATCTCAGAGCAGAGTTGAAAGTGAAAGCTAAACTTAATTTAAACATATTTCTTTTTATATTTTTTAGTAGTGCAGTCTTATTTTATTAAATTTTTTTAAGGTTTGCAACAGGATTTTGTGAAAAGCTGCAGAGGAATGCTAAGTGTTTGTGGTGTTATGTAAAGGCTGTTATTATGGTGTCTTTAATAGGATTATTACACTGGGATCAGGTTGTTTGTTTAATGAATAATACAGTGGTAGGTTTTGCTCCCGGGCTTATGCAATTATCTCACCCACCACATCCACTGTTTGGAAATGCTACCCTCCTATGAATAAGTAAATAATACTTTAAAGCTGCACTATGTAACTTTTCGGTTGGGGGTCTGTCCCCTGCTTGTTCCTGTGTCATTGCCCTGCCTGGAATGTTCCACAGTATGACATTAAACAGCTCGACCTTACATTCATGCAATTACAGGTGGTTTTATAGCTCCAAAATACCAAGAAAAACTTAAATTTTGACTGTGAGTGGGGTTGCCTCTCCATAGATCTGACCTGTAACTTGGTCTGGTTTGATCTCCATGAAGATAGAAAAGTCGTACTGTGGAATATTCCAGACAAAACAATAACATCTCCATAAAGAAACGCTTTTGACGGACCGTCCATCAGAAAAGTTAAACACTGCACCTTTAATAATAATACCTGTTGTAACCTTTTCTACTTAGAACATTGAGCTCTGTCTGTGGCGTCGGTTTTAATTGATCTGCACAGTTTGTTTTAGTTTCTCACTAATGATGAAAACAAGCCAGATGCAGCCAGTGTCCATGTTTCTTTCAGGATCCGACCCACAGCAGTGTTAAGAATATTGATCACCTTGTAACAGTTTGATAGCTAAATTGATTTGACCAAATACCATAAAAGGATATATGGTAATTTCCATAAATATTCATACCGCAAGTGAGTATTTCAAAATATTATTCAGGTAGAAGTAACTAACTACTATAGCCAATACTGTTGCTCTTGTTTGTAATTCAGCAAGTACTGATACTAAAAAGATCACATCAACAGGACAGAATTGATCCTTTCCTTGATAGCTTTAGAATGATCCTGAGCTGTATCAAAAATAATAGACAACATATACCTGAACGACTGAGGGATTCCACAGATTCAAGACCTCACAGTAGCACTAGTGTTTATTATTATCATAGTCGTATCAGAATCAGTTTTGAGTATCGAATCTTTTACTAATGTTATAGTGATTAGTACGGTATATCAAATTTGAAATTTTAGTATCGTTGTAAAACTAGTCAGGCTTACATCTGGTTTTGTCTAATGAATTTAAAACTTTTGGCTTTGTGGTTCAACATTTGACTTTGAATGCAAATCTTCACATTGTGTAGAAACTTTAACTGCAAAATGTTTTGACAGTTGGATATTCTTTCTCATACAAAGATCATGTTTTGTGCATTATTGAGATCAGCACCACTTTATTGAGTTTGTTTTGGTACAATTAGTAAGGACACACACTAAAGTAGTGAAACCCCCATGGAGACCTGTATTTGTATGAATGAAATTAAACAAGCTGTGGTCTCGGATGTGACATAACACCACAGATGGCTTACTTTTCTGTCACTTTGTTCCAGTTAGACACATATTAGACCATATTAGGCTGTTTTCTGATCTGTTATATTGTTTCCTCATCAAAAACATTCCTGGAATTATGTTTTTTTAATTCGCTCATGTTTAACAATTATTGAGTTTTTCTCTTAAACAGAAAACAACTCTGTTCCACCTTGTGATGTCATGTGGTAATAATAATTTCAGCTCTGGAATTGCAAATCTTTACTAAATAAAAAGTAAATAGTAGCTGTTAACTTGAAAAGTGCAGCTTTGTGACATGGAGATGTACACAGACTAAAAAGGATGATGTAATATAGGACCTTTAATATTTCTGAATTATTCAAAAAGCAGAGTAGATTACGTATATTGACTTTTGCATCTGTCATTCTGCTGAATAGGCCACGCAGTTCTTGGAGTCAGTTCTTGGAAGATGAAAGCAGGTAAACAGGATTCTGGTGTGAGATTCCTCGGTGTGATAGCTATTGCATAATTGTCCCAACATAAAGGTCACCATTATAGTCAGCGCCTGGGTGCCGGCCGGGTGCGGTTTCATTACATAGTCAGTGCCATAAGAGGTCACGCACCGTTATTAAACAAGCTCTGTACCAGGTCTTTGAAGAGGCTCCGTTTGTAATCAAAATATTACACAGTGAATTTCAGGAGGGGTGAATAATGATGCCTGGGCTGGTAGCGAACCCTCGTGTGCCCAGGCATTTGACAACAGTGTGTTGATGATTTGAAAAGATGGCATAATTTAAGCACGCCTCATACCATGTGAGGTGCTTGCGGACAACAGTGAGTCTTCCAAACTGGGGAAGGCGTACAGTCAAAGTTTTGTGTTAAAATAATTTATGAAAAAAGTCATGTTTTACAGTCTAGTTATGCCTACGTATCCAGGTTTTCAGAATGCATGAGTGTACATATAGTACATCAGTCAACTGGTGACTTTAAAGGGCTCATGTTATACTATTCTCTGATCTGTTATAATGCGGTTATCTCATCAGAAACATACCTGGAGTTGTGTTTTGTTTCATTCACACATGTTTAACACACAAACCCTGCATATTTAGGTGAGTTCTTCTCTAAAATGGAAAACACTCTGTTCGACCTTGTGATGTCATTTGGTAATACAGGAAGTTCTCCACTGTGTTTTTCAACTCTTTCACTACAATCATTTGGATAATTTCTATTGAACTAATGGTAAAAGTAGCTGCTAACATGTCTTCAAGGTCACAAGAGTCAGTTTGTGTGATGTAGGAGCTTTAAATGAGCCTTGGTTAGAGGATGGTTGTTTGTTCTGCTGTCTCAGCCCTGTGAATAGAGAATAGATGTACTCTTTAGTTTCTGGAATGTGGTCTGTTTTATGTTTATTACCAGTCCTAGGAAAAAGGTTGGGCACCACTGATTTATATTGTAAAACATTTTATAATCATTCAAGTCTTTTTTCTTGAATATGTTTGAGTCAGTTATTGTGAATGAATGAATGAACTGTACCTTAGTTGGACCCTGCACAGTTCTTATGTACAGGGTTTCCACGGGGCATTAAAATGCATTTAATTTAATTTCAAGTGCCTTTAAAAATATTCACAGTTGTGCCAAAAATATTTCTCGTATCTACTGAGCATTTATTATAATACATTTTTATACAGTCTATGATTACAGGGGGTTTTGTTGCTTAAATATACCTAGAAAAACAGGACTTATGACTGTGATCAGGGTTGCCTCTCCACAAATCTGACCTGTAACTTGGTCTAGATTGGTCTCCATGAAGATAGAAAGGTTTAATGCCATATTGCAAAAAAATCCATCTATTAATGACATTAAAATTCTGAATTGTGGCATTAAAAAGCATTCAGTTTGGTTTGTTGAACCCTGCATAAACCCTGGTGTAAATAGGACCCCTGTTCTCTTGCGTAATGACAACAGGAAGTGGTCAATGCAGCGGTGTTAAGAGGGTCATACGGGACATGGTGAATGTGGTTCACCACTGCTGTGTTGCATTAGAAACAATGGATTTGCTGCTCAGTGGACGACCTGCATGTATGTGCATTAAAACCTCTTCGACTGAAATGTGTATGTTACAGTGTACAAAGCTCTGGCGTCATGGAAAGTTTGCTCATGTAATTATTTTCAAATTTGTGTGCGTGTACTTGATCTGCACACAAACAGAAGTACTGCCATAAACTGTGTAGAAGCTCATCCACTTTATTACATACTATTTAACTAATTAGTCAAGTCAAAGTAAAAGTTAGTCTTACAAATAACAATAGCCATCACTCTTCCAGCATTTGAAATTTGACCCCTTGAACTGTGGACATAAGGCTGGTCTGCTGGGCAGATGCTAACCACTATGCCATCATGTTGTAGTAGTGCTAACAGGTAGTATTTTTATTAGTATATTTAAAAATCATTTATTATCACATGAATGT